GTCGAGTACCGGGATTTACAAGTGAATACGGTAACAATGTAAGCAATCGTGCATCTCTAATCATGCAGATATTTCTTTGTCTCGTGCTCTAATGAAACGATTGAACGCGAATAAAAGGCAGGCTTCATACTTCCTTTGCTACAGTGAGATTTGATATTAATCTTTATGAAATGCAAGCGCAGGCGCTGGCAGATACTCAGATTTATATTAAGCCCGATTTACAATGTCATTTTTTCATCATTTTCTATCGGCACAGAAAAGTGAAACGTACACTTTGTTCTAATATATAGTTCAGTGCTCATTCCTAACTTAATTTGCTTCATAGATGCTAGTTTCATCTGTTTTATCTTCAGCGCTTTTTGCGGCGTCCAGAGGAAATATTCTCATCACGATTACGTGCAGGAACGAAATGACCGTGTAAAATATCCAATCCATCAGGTTTCGATCCCGAATCAGCATCGCGTAGTAACGAGCGGCCCTTTTCCATACATTTTCTGAACAGAAAATGAAACTTGTGGTGCTACAGAATGGCACAGACTTTCCTTTCCTTAGTTTTCTATTTCCTTTGGTCTCGACTAGGTATTCTGATTTGGCACATACTCTTGCCAGCTGCCAACTATCGCCACCCAAAGTACATTTTTTGACATTTTCTATTTTTTTTTGTTTCCTAATAGTAGAGCAGGAATACTGGTATTAGAATATTAAAGAACAGTAAAACCTCATTCTAAATGGCAATTTTCTCTGATACATTTGGAGTCCTTTTTAAGGAAATGGCGTTTAAGCGCTACTGTAAATTTGAAATTTGAAGCTCTTTTAAAGAACATTTTTGAGATTTCGAAAAATTTCATGTGAAGTAATTTTAAGTACTTACACTCACAAATACAATAGTCTTTACAAATCTCTGGAAATGTGCATATTAACGGCGTGATTTTTGAAAACAAATCACTGAAATGAACTTTGTCATATTAAAAAGTGCAATTAGCACTATCTGTTCGAAATGCTTGAAGAAAATATTTTTTGCAGCATTACATAACTTTTTCTGTACTACGCATATACGTACGGAGTAAAATTGACGTGTAAAACGAGCTTACATAATATTGGGATGCTAGAAAATCTCCACTTTTGTCAGACCTCATGTACGTGAGGATTACATGTATTACTCCTCGCAATCGTTATATCGTGAACATGTTTATTTGCACCAAAGCATCACATATGTATCAGAATTATCATAAAGAATCATACTTTAAAAACTGAATTGTTTGGTAAATTATCGAAATAATGTTATTGAAGTAGGCATACATAGAAAATGTATGCTATATAATTGTATGTTGTTGATTGGTTGTTTAGTGATTCCGAGCACGTCAACTACCAGGGTCATTAGTCCCGTAAGTGTAATGCATGCTTTTTG